TTTCACAATATGATAAAATAGTTAATAATAAGTATTTATTAAGTATTAAGTATTTATTAAGTATTGAGTATTTAAAATACTGAGAGAAAATACCAAGCGTTCTTACTAAACAAAATGATGTAAGTAGGTCAGAGTATTTGACATTAAATTCATACGTCACAATATCACTTTATACCTCTTACATTCATACATACATATTCTGTCAATTTATGTTACATGGCTCCCTTCTCTCCATCTCCACCTCTCTCCCCTTTATAACACTAGGCTCACCCTTCATTTTCTCCTTTCCAGCCGTTGCTAATAGGTGACGGAAGCTGTGGAAAGTGAAACAGTGTGAGGGGTACTATAGCCCTTATATCATGTTGTAAGCTTGTGAACCTAAAAACACTCCCAGGGGGTTAGAGAGATGGCTCAGTGGTTAAGAGTACTGTTACTCTTCCAGAGCACCCAAATTTGGATCCCAGCACCTACATCAGTCAGTTCACAACTGCTTATGACTCCAGCTTTAGGGTAACTGAAACCCTCTTCTGGCCTCCACAGGTACCTGTACACAGGTGGCTCACACACACACAAACACATATACATATATAAAAAATAAAATAAAATCTTTAAAACCCTCCCACAATATTAGTGAGAGTGATTGGACCAGAGATTCATTTCCTGTCTTGAAGGCTAAGTGAATAAAGGCTGGTAGAAAAGAAGGGTCCTGTGAGGCACCATAAATATCAACCACAGAGATCACCATCTCTTGGGTGAGTTCATGACCCTGAGCTTCCCACCCATGCCCAGCATTGGGTCACACTGGAAAGTTCTGTGACAGACCTCAGCCTTTTCCTCAGCTTGCCCACACTGGCACACACCAAAGCTAAGCAAGGACACTGAAAATCTCTGAACTCCTTCTTCATACGCATCTACTCCTCCGCTCACCTTCTTGGTCCTCCTCATTCTGTATGGAATCCCTACTCTTCAGAAGTTCTATTAATACCTACTTTAGAACTACTTCTGACCTTGGAAATCTTCCAAACCGTATTGTCCGTTTGTCTTCTAGTGTCATGTACCACCATACCTTCAGATAAGGAGCCCTGTGACAGATGCTGAGGGTGCAACACTGTCATCTTGCTTCCAGCTGACATCTCCCCACCACCTGCTACTCTGCTTGAGGGTTCTTTGTCTGGTTACTGCATACTATTCTGCTTACCTGCACAGCAGGTCAACACTCAACAGAAATAAAAACCCTCTGGAGCACCTTTAACCCGATGACAAGTGCTCATTGGCAGATAAATATTTAGCTCTCTCACTACCAAAATGGAATAACTCTGAGATGTAGTGTCTACATATTTCCAGGCACTCCTTAATTCCAGATACAGTGAAATATGCTTCGTCAGGCATCATTCACTGGCCTCTTTCCTGACTCCACCTTATCTCCCTACTGTTTATTTTCTAGGTTCAACTCTCAAATTACTTAATTGCATCTCAAGCCTTTTCTTAGAGGAAATCACTGAGACAAATAAGACAGGACAGTGCCCAGACCAAGCCAAAGAGTCAACCTTTGAGGTTTGACTGCAGCAGTTTTCATATCTATGTATGCTAGGATATGGATGGGATATGGATAGAAAAACTGTCTCCTGTCTAACATCTGAGACTCACCTCTATGTCCACGGGACACCACCACAGATGGAACACCAAACACCACATCCCCAATCAACTCCAGGAGCTGGTCTTTAATTTTGACTGGATCATCGGTGCCTTTGATGTACTTCTCAGTGGCAACTGGAATCATATCCTCAGGGATATTCTGAAATTGATGAAGACAGTGACCACCAAGCGAGTGGTGTGGCTTCTACAGACAGTTGAAAAGGCTTCATTGATTATGAACCTCTTGAGCCCTATACAAAGCCCTCCTGGGTAGTGAAGTGGGAAACTCAGAAAAACAGGAACAGAGCCTATTTTTTCCTGACATTGAATTATTCTGTAATTTTGGGAAATCCTCATCCTTTGTTTCTCTAGGTGCCATGGTCCCATTTGTGCTTACAAGAATAAAAGAAGATTTCTGCAAGAGTGATGTTGCCGTCTTCAGGTTCAATTTTACTTCAGAGGGTGGATAATCCATCATCTGTTTTAAAACATTGTTAAGCATTTGTGAATTCTCAGGAGTTAACAGAATAAATCAAATGAGCTATCCAACCAATTTTTTGTTGGATCTTCATGGACTTGGGTCTTTGATGAGTTTTAAAACAATCAATGATATCAGTGGATTTATACAATAGCTGAATAAATGAAATAAGTATACCCTAAATATATGCATTGATTAGGCTAAGAGATACGATGATTTACCAAGCAGGGAACAAACAAAACTTCACATATATGACAGAAAAGGGAAAAACAATCATAAAAGCTCTGTTCTTTGATAACCACCCTCCCAGAAATCCTTTTCCAGTAAGAATTCTAGAACTGTCATCCTGTCCCAAACGTGTCCAGAGACCTGATCCAATTCCAGCAGAGTAACTGAAATCCATATCATAAGGTGACCCTGGTCTTCCCATAGGACTGTTTGGGAAAGCCTGCTGCTTTCAGGTGAAATCACTCTTTTCTAGGTCAAACCTAGTGATGGGTAGACAACCTCTGACACCTGTCTTAAAGCAGTTACTATGAAACTTGCAGTTATCAGTTCTTTCTCTGCCCTTTGAGATATAAATCCCACACCCAAGAATTGTTTCCTCAAATGCCTGATAGCAAATAGTTTTTATACTTTTTTGGTCACTTCTTTGAAATGTATTTATCTGGGGTGAAAATTCTTAACTTTAGCTCCCAATCTCTGAAGGCTTAACTTTGGTTACCACCAAAGGCTACTGCCTTACTTCATCTGGAGCTCCATCTTCCTGTCATGAAGCTGACTTCTGCTGAAGATGAGTTCTGACTGTCTAAGCCAGGATTTGGCCACATGGGCTCACATTTCACTCCATAGTGCCTTTCCAAGCTATCCAGGCTTGGAGACATTTGCTGAGTTTACTTGAATTCGGGTCAGCTTTGATCTTCTCTCTACTGAGACCCTATTAGTGAATATAACCTGCATTGCTCAGTTACCTAATGTCTGACTTTTTAAAAATCTTTGAAGATGAAAAGGTTTTCTTCCCTGTAAAATACCTGTTTAACTCAAGAAATGACTTTCACGGAATCTTTCAATGAGGTTCAGTGAGAACGTGTAGAGTTCTCTGGGAACTATGAGTTCAAGCCCATGGTGAAAGCTGTTGTACCCCAGTATGACTCTCGTGAATGCCCAGCTTTGTTCAATTTAGAGACACCTTCAATTTGTCCAAGTGACTAATTCTTATCTCTCCAGGCCAATTCAGCTTGGAAGCTTCAGGAATCCTGGTTCAATGGAATGAGAAAGAGTGTTTGGGGACAGGGGTCATCTAGGGTTAAAGTTGACACAAACCGAGACTGTTTCTGTGGAAGTATCCTCTAACAACAGTAGGAACAGTTGCTCTGGATACAAAACAGAGCTTAGAGAACAAAGAACTCATAGGAACCCAGATCGGAGGGATAATGGGTGGGCGATGGGGAAGCACAGGTCTAAGAGGTCTACTTTTGCTCACTGTTGGCAGAATCCAGCCAAACTCTTGCTTGTTGATCCCCACAATGTAAGGGACAGTGTTGAAATTCTTTTCAGCAAGAATCTCTTCTGGGGCCTTTGGCAGCACCACTCCATCAATCACTGTTGGCACAAAGGGGTGGCTCTGGGGAAAAAGCAGCACAGTGTGAGCAGTCCCCTATATCTCTCTCTCATCTCATTCCCAGCTCATTTTTCTCTCTTCCCCATATCTTCCTATTTTGCTTCTTAACTATAACTTTCCATGTTTTTAACAATATTTATATTTGTGGATCCTGAGTATCTTCATTTCTTCCCTTCTGTGTATTCTTTTCTTTTCATTTTTTTCTCAGTTGATCTAATACCAAGCCCTATTTTTCACTCAGTCCACTTACCTTCCATTTCTAACATTACTCATGAATATCTAACTACACACAGTATTACTGTGTTCCTTTACCCTCCAGTAGTTATTGAAGCTACTGTTTTACAGTGGCTATTATGACATTTGCATAGTGGGTCTATTCAAAATTTGTTGTTGCTTCTACAGTTAATATTCTGGTTTCAGAATAGTACTGAGGAATCCATGTACCCTGAGAACATAAACTAAAAAGATAAACCCAAGTACATTCCTCCCAATGTATAAATATAAGAAACGTGAATATCAAGGTTGTACAAAACCCCTCTAAATTGTACCAATTGCAACATATTGAATTCTAACAAAAATCAACTAGATAAAATCCCAAAGAATTGAAAACAAAACTCTTGATGTTTGATAGGTTAACCAGGCTCCAGTTGATGATCCCACACTGAAGGACATTTGGAGATACAAATTAGACTTATATATATATATAGTGTTTAATTGGGCAGGAGGACAATAAAGGGAGGTACAGATAGTGGAGGGGTCTAGACACCATCAAATTATATTGTATGAAAATTGCAAAAATTCAATAAAATAACTATAAAAGTGTTTGACAACATTAAAGAAACTATAAATAAACTCCTAAATAAATTCAGAGAACATAAACAGCTGGAAAGAAATAAGAAAATTGTTATAGACTATGAAAGCAATTAAATTAAGGGAAATACTGAAAAACATCACTTTGAAATGTTGGAAATGAAAAATACATTAAGTAGAATTAAAAACTCAGCTTCAAGTGTGGTGGAGCATGCCTTTAATTTTAGCACTGGGAGGCACAGGCAGGTGGACCACCATGAGATCAAGGCCAATCTGGTCTACATTGTGAGTTCCAGGACAACTGGGGCTACAGGGGAGACCCTGTTTCAAAAAAAGCAAAAAGAGTCTGTGTTGCTTCACTTAGTATAACAGTTTCTAGTTCCATAGATTTATCTGCAAATTTCTTGATTTCATCTTTCTTTACTGCTGAGTAGAACTCCATTGTATAAATGAACCATATTTTCATTATCCACTCATCAGTTGAGGGATATTTAGGTTGCTTCTGTCTCTTAGCTATTGTGAAAAGAGCCACAACAAACATGGCTGTACTAGTGTCTCTACAATAGGATGAGCTCTTTGGGGATATGCCAAGGAGTGGTATAACTGGGTCAAATGGTAGGTTCATTTGTAATTTTTTAAGGGTTCTCCACACTGCTTTCTTTGGGGTTGAACAAGTTTGCAGTCCCACCAGCAGTGAATGAGCACACCCCTTTCCCCACATCCTCTCCAACATTTGGTATCATTTGTTTTCTTGATCTTAGCCAGTCTGACTGGGGTAAGATGAAATCTTAAAGTGGTTTTAATTTGCATTTCCATAATTACTAATGATGTTGAACATCTTTTAAGATACTTCTTAGCCATCTTTAATTCTTCTTTTGAGAACTTTCTGTTCAGCTCCTTAGCCCATCTTAATTGGGCTACTTCCTTTCTTGATTCTTTGGTTTTTGAATTTGTTATATGTTTTGGATATTAAACATCTGTCAGATGTGTCACTGGTGAAGATTTTCTCCCACTCTGTGGGTTTCCTCTTCACTTTCTTGGCTGCTTCTCTTGATGTACAGAAGTTTTAGTTTAATGAGGTCCCATTTGATGATTTTTTATCTTATTTCCTAAGCAATTGATGTCCAGTTTAGAAAATCCTTCCCAACACCTATATCTTGTAGGTTATTGCCAATGTTTTCTTCTAACAGTTTCAGGGTTTCAGGCTTCACATTGAGGTCTTTGATCCATTTGGAGTTGGCTTTTGTGCAAGATGAAAGATAGGGTTTAGTTTCATTCTTCTACTGGTGGAGATCCAGTTTTGCCAGCACAACTTGTTGAACATGTTGACTTTCCTCCAGTGAATGTTCTTGGCCCCTTTGTCAAATATCAGGTGGCTGAAATTGCATGCAGTCATATTTGGTTCTTCAATTTTGTTCCATTGATCTACAGGTCTATTTTTGTAGCAATGCCAGGTTGTTTTTATGACTATAGCTCTGTGATATAGTTTAAAATCTGGCATAGTAGTCCCCCCAGCATTACTCTTAGTGCTCAGATTGCTTTGCCTATCTGATATCTTTTGCATGTCCATACAAATCTTAGGATGGATTTTTTCCAGTTCTGTGAAGAATGTCTTGGGGATTTTGATTGGCATTACATTGAATCTATAAATGGCTTTTGGTAGAATGGTCATTTTCAAAATATTAATTCTTCCAATCCACGAGCATGGGAGGCCCTTCCATCATCTCGTGTCTTCCTTAATCTCTTTCTTTAAAGATTTAAAATTTTCATTGTAGAAGTCTTTAACGTCTTTGGTCACGTTTATACTGAGATTTTTTTTTTTTGAGGCTATTATGAAAGGGGGTGTTTCCATGTACTCTTTCTCTTATTGCTTGTTATTGTTATATAGAAAGGCTACAGACTTTTATAGATTAATTTTATAACCTACCACTTTACTTTACTAAAAGTGTTTATCATTTCTAGGAGTTTTCTGTTGGAATTTTTGGGGTGCCTTAGATATAATGTCATATGGTCTGCAAAACAAACAATGTATGTTCTCCCTCATATGTGAATTCTAGCACCAAATTCTTATAAGCAAGCATGTATCCATACGTAACTACAGGAACCATGAAAATGTGAAGGAACCAGGGAGTTAAAGGAAAAGAAAGAACCTGAGAGAAAGAAAAAGTAGGAAACAGGTGTTACTAAGGGAGATATGGATAAAAATGAGGTTATTTAAATGGGAGGGGGAGGGTGGGTTATACAAGGAACCTTGAGGATAAAGGAAAGAAGGAGTTCAAGAGAGGTGGGACCATTGGAAAAGGGTATTATTAAGGGAGAAATGGGAAAAACAGGGGCACTTTAAATGGGGAAACCATAGTGGAAGGGTTAGACAATGAGAGAGATAAATAATGTCTAGCTAGGGTATTTTTTTAGAAGCAGCAGTTCATTACAGCTTTAACATACTCAATAACAGTTTCCAGAGCAAAGATACATCTCTTTCAAAAGTGGTTATAAAATTTTTAGGTTTGCTATTGAATTAATATAGTTATACAATATTGAACTCTGTATAAGCCCTGTAAGACAAAAAAATTGAATGAGTTTTTAACCATTCCCCACTATTTGTCCATCTGGTGAATCTAGTCAGCCTATCTAGAGGTCTTTGTTTTAGGAAGGTCAGCAGTTCCTCATCTAGCAGCAATCAGTTGTCAATATTCCTTTAGATAAGATTGGGGTCTGCTGTTCATTTTCCAAGTTCTATGCTGGGTTACCATTTGGGAGTCCCTTGGGCCACCCTGGCCAACAATGCAAAAGAAGGTATCTCCTATCTAGCATTGTGTTGGGGAACTCTGTTGCTAAGGTTGAAGTCCACCATGTCTAGATAGCTCTGTGGAGCTCAGCACTAAATGGAGGACTCCCTTTCTCAGCCAGGCCTTCCTGCTCTCTGCCTGACCTTAATTGGAAAGTGTCTCCAAGCACAAATGCCTGGCCTTATTTGGAACATGACCTTTGGCATAGTTACCTGCAAAAACTGCCCCTAGGTTTTTTCTATATGATAATTAGACATTGCACTATAGCTAGATGATAGGGTCCTCCTGCCACATGTAAATAAAGCATACTATGAACACCCATCAGGTGAAGCTTTGGCTTCCATCTTCAGCCTATATTTTCCCCTGACCCCCACTGAATAAATGAGCTGTCTCACTGAAGCTGACTCATGGAAGTTCTTTTCCATCATACTCATTGGCTGTCCTGACTCTGTTCGTCACCTCTGCTCCCTTTGTCCTTGTGTATCCATGGCCCACAACCCATGAGGGAAGAGAGACCCACAGCTGGCGCCCAATGAGGGGCTCCTGGAATGTGTGGAGTTTGTGAGTACCCACTCTCCAAGAGGGTAGAGGCACCTTTGCCTTGGCCATCCCACTCTGAGGATCGGCAGCCCCCCCTTCCCCCTTTTACTTTCAGTCTGAGTCTTCACGTGGGAGCATTAAAGATGAAAGAGCAATTGAAGCTTTCTGATCAGGGCCACTCCCTGATGTTAGTCGAAGGCTCCTAGTCCTCTGAAGGGACACCCACCAGGTGTCGACAAAGACCTCCTATCTTGTCTCTCTAATGCAAAACCTGGTTATGCAATAACTAGTTAAATGCTCTTAGAGCAGTCACTGGTTCTCTGAAATTTGTGGTCAGACTTGTCCTCTGGAGTAGTTAGGAATGCCCCATGAGCTTCAGGTCTCAGGACTGTTCCCCTAAGACTCAGCATTTCATCCCCCTTTCCTTTTCTATCTTGGACAACACCTCTAGAAACAAGGAATCCCCAAGGTTCTATCATGCAGGGATTTTTCACACACATTGCATTCAGCTTGAAAGAGCAAATAAACTTCCTTATCCATTTTGTTATCTTGCCTCAGGGCATTCAGGCTTAGGCCAAACCAGGTGGGTAACTATTGGAGCATTTAAAGAATTTAAATTGCCCTGCCCCATTAAAAGGAAAAAAAACGGGGGGGGGTCCTCTCTTTTCCTCTCTTTGCTTTACTTTTGGTTAATGCCTTCGCAAGGGTCTGGATACGGTTTGCAGGCAACTGAAGCCTCTCGGTCAGGGAAACTCCCTGATATTTGCCAAAAGCCCCCTGCCCTCTTTCCGGACCCTGACAGCTCAACTGGGTGTAGGCAACAACCTTTACAAGTCTCATAAAAATCTGGTAACACAGCAACCATTTAAAAGTCTCAAGGACAGTTGCCAGTCTCTT